CCTCAGCCAGCTTTGCTGGCTGAGGAATTCTGGGAGCTGAAGTCCACAAGCCTTAAAGTTGCCAAGGTTGGAGACCCCTGGTCTAGTGTGACTCTTTTTCTTAGGACACTCACAGGCCTGCTTGTTTTCAGTTCCCAAACTCCCCAGTTAACCCTCCTTCTCAGGTAATACCAAAACTCTGGATCCCCACAAAGAAAAATGCTTTCGGCGGTGAGTTCACTCTTCCTCACTTTAATTATTTTTGCCTGGTCGGTAACATCTGGGAGAGCTGACTCACTCCATGTTCTATTTGTAAAACAATGTCATCTTGGAGGACGTAAGAGATGGGCATTTGCCCTATGGAGCAACCCTGCTGGTGCTTTCACAAATCTTTTGCTTCCTTACAATTACATAACTTTTGTCTTGTGCGTTACTTGGTTTGGGGGTTTCCTCTTTCCTAATGCATTGTTGGTTATTAATGTCTAGTGTTGTTATTAACATATTGTGGCTTTGGGGGACAACTCTGTCCATTTCTTTTTAAAATCTAATATACAAGCTGCCTAGAATTACCTCATCATTCAAGTAGCCTATGAGTTTATCAAGTAAATTAATAAAAATGATCCATTCATAAATAATGGAAGTTCTTTCCCTATCACCTCTACTGACCATGGGCAAGCTTGCTTTTTGATACCTGTTCCCAGCAAATGATTGATAGAATAGAATGGTTTTATAATAACTATATCAGGAGATTTTGAAATGTCTTCCTTATTTTGCAAATGTGTATGAAGAGGGAAAAGAAGTGTAAACCATTCATGAAGTGTAAATCCTCTTTATTTAAAATTATCTCCACTGATCTGCAAGCAAACATATTAAATACAAGCAGGCTACATCCTTCTTTCCTTAACTTTACTCTGGGGCATTTCCATTTAAAATTAAAAAATTAAGCTGGAATAAAGAAGTATATGGCTGGAATAAAGAAGCGTATGGGCGCAAAAGGATTATCTTATCACTCTCATTTTATCTTTCCCTACCTAGCACCTTGCACACTCAGGTACCACTGTAGATATATTTGATAATGATGACACACAAATAAGAATCCATTCTGTAGCTCTTAAACCATGGATAAAAACATTGCGGCCACCAATGACACAAGAGACAATAAATGCATAAACGGCACAGCTGATTCTTGGGGGAACATACTTTCCCATATAGTTGCATATCTAAATTTCAGATGAACGCTCTTTCCTACCAATTAACATAACTTTTTTTTTGGTCAGGATTCTGTTTCACTCAGCTTATGTCCAGGCAATGTAAACTATTTTCCTGGGTCCTTGAATCAGAAAGATAAATAGAAATGGGTGTTGCCTACATTCTAAGGACGCTTTTGTAAAAGTTGAAAAAGCATGAAAAAGAACTTTATAATACCTCATTGACAAATGCTCAGATATCAGACCAATGTCTTCCAGCACCACCTACTGGAGACTGACCGTCAGACAAAACCAATTCAGAACAGGACTACCTTGTTCAAAAAGATCATCACAGTAATGAAATCTGCCAGATATATCAGCTGTGGCACTTTTCCTAGTTTTGATCACTTATAAATGGAATTTCAGTGAGACCCCAAATCAGACTAGAATTCAAACTGGAATGGGTTAAATAATATCTCATGTAATTAAATTCTCAATGTCATTTAAATTCATCTGGAACTTAATTCCTGCCACTTGTTTGAACAGGCTGTCCACTACGTCAAAAAGAGAGCATAGAATGAATATTAAGAACTCATCTTAAGCAATAATTAGTCTTACTTAGTATTCCAGGAATCCTTCCCTCCTGTAAGAACCCATTAATGGTCTCTATCCTTGAAATGAGCCATCCTCTTGCAACTTTACCAAATGGACAAGGATCAAGGCTTAAGTCATGAGTTGGAATGATTGACAATCTTGTCCACAGCTTCTGGATATGAAAAATATCCATTACAGCAGAACAAGCAAATGCTTCAGATACAGGTACTACTCGCCTTACAAGCGTTCTTTTAGCAAGTGTTCGAAGATACAGCAGCACTGAAAAAAGCGAATTAACAACTTTCTCACTCAGCAACAGAAATGTTGGGCTCAATTGTGATTCTAAGTCAAGGACTACCTGTACCTGAAAAGATATAGAATTAATATGGGATCCAGTGGTTTTACCTGCACATACTTGACATAATACTGAACCTGTTGGAAGTGGACAGGGTTTTTAGGACTGTGAACTCAGCCACCTGTTCCCTAGATCCATGTCCCTCCTGGCTTGTGAAAGTGGCTCAGGGGCTGTTGGGTAGTTTTTAACAGCAGTGAGTTCTTGGAGTGAAGAGGTTCCTTCACCTCTCAAGGAAGCTTTGGTTCACCTGCTCCTCAAGAAGCCATCTCCAGGACTCCAACGTCCTCTTTTGGGGGAAGGTGACTGAGAAGGTGCTTGTGCAGCAGCTTCAGAGGACCTTGGATGAAAGGAATTCTCTTGCACTTTTTCAGTCAAGTTTCAGACCTGGGCATGGTATGGCAATGGCACAGGTTGCACTTTTGGATGATTTCTGGCACAGGCAAAATAGTGGATGTGGGTCTCTCCTTGCCTTATATGACATCTCATTAGCTTTTTATACCATCAACCATGGTATCCTTCTGGAGTGACTCAGACGATTGGAGGTGGATGGCACAATATTATGATTCACCTCATTTCTATGGGGTTAATTTCTGGCTAGTTAAGCAATGCTGTGGATGTCCTTCCCAGGGTCTGGAGGTTGTGACAATCTGGATAGGGAACAACAAGCTTCTACTGAACTCTAGTAAGACTGAGTGGCCTTGGGTTTTGAGCTCCTCTACTTCTAAGACTTGCCTTCTACTGTGTTTCTCCAACAATACGGCCTCCCCCAATAGGAAGTCCCAGCATGCTTTATAGGCATAAAATGAAATTAAGCCCCTCCCCCCAAATTAAGGCCTATATTAAACATACGAAATGGGGGGAATGGTGGGGGGGCTGGCCTTTAGGAAGTACTTTTGTTGCATACCTGGATATGGTGCTGCCTGCGTTGATCTCGGCGTTGGTGGGGCACTTTGTATCGGGAGACCTTCCGCCATTGCTTTCCCTTCTCCCTGTGCTGCCGTGGCGTTTAAAGAAACGCTGCGGCATTTGGCGCAGCCACGTGCAGCCAGCCAGGGCTCCTCCCTGCAACCGGAGCCCGGCGGAGACGCTCAGCTTCAGGTGCTCCTGTCGCTGCCTTCCCTTTGCCTTCAAAGGCAAAGCCAATTCTTTTAAAAACGACGTCCTACTACCAGTACGACAAAGACTCCCCTGCCCGAGAGGGTAGCCCAACCCCATGTGGGAAGGCAAATCTCCCGGGGCAGCAATGCAGGATCGGCCCACCCCGGGAGAAGCACCCAGCCGCCATCCCTGCCTGGCGCCGAGCAGAGCATGAAGAGCTTTGCCTGGGGTGCCCAGCGCAGCTGACAGGTGGGCCTTCCTGCCCAGCGGCGGAGCTCTTGCCAAGGCAGCGAGCGCCTCCCCGCCGGATCCTCCGCTCATCCCACCAGAGCCGTGTGGGCTGGGCAGAGCTGGGAAAGTGAGTCGCAGGTGCGCGCCCACCTGCCAACCGAAAGAGCCGGGCCGACCTGAGCTTGGCTTCCTTCCCAAGTCCCTCAAAGCACAAACCTGAAGGGGCCACTGGGAGAGGCTGCCCGAGGCAATGATAGTGCCCACCCATCCACAGACAGGGAGGTGAGGCGACAGCAGCACTGGCCGGCGGGTCCAGCGGAGAGAGCCCGAAGCCGCCCGTCCTTTCCACCCCTCACCCAGCCCGTCCCCACGCATCTCCAAACACACCAGCAGCTCCAAATGCTGCAGCGGCATGGGCATCGGGCAGAGGTGCTCACTCGGCGGGGCTCAGCTCGGAGGATGCGGTGCAGGCTGTCACCTTGCCTCCCTGTCCACGGATGGGTGAGCGCTATAACTGCCTCGGGCGGCCTCTCCTGGTGGCCCCTTCAGGTTCAGGCTGGAGGGACTTGGAAAGGAAGCCAAGCTCGGATCGGCCCGGCTTTTTTGCTTGGCAGGTGGGCCCGCATCTGCGCCTCGTTTTCCAGGCCCTGCCCAGCCTGCACAGCTCTGGCGGGATGAGCGGAGGGTCCGGCGGGGAGGCGCTCGCTGCCTTGGCAAGAGCTCCGCCGCTGGGCAGGAGGGCCCGCCTGTCAGCTGCGCTGGGCATCCCAGGCAAAGCTCTTCGCGCTCTGCCCGGCGCCAGGCAGGGATGGCGGCTGGGCGCTTCTCCCGGGGTGGGCTGATCCTGCGCTGTGGCCCTGGGAGATTCGCCTCCCCATGTCGGGTTGGGCTGCCTTCTCGGGCAGGGGAGTCTTTGTCATACTGGTAGTAGGGCATCGTTTTTAAAAGAATTGGCTTTGCCTTCGAAGGCAAAGGGAACGCAGCGACAGGAGCACCTGAAGCCGAGTGTCTCTGCCGGTTGCAGGGAGGAGCCCTGGCTGGCCGTGCATGGCTGCGCCAAATGCCGCGGCGTTGCTTTAAACACCATGGCAGCACGGGGAGAAGGGAAAGCAACGGTGGCGGAAGGTTCCCCAATACGAAGTGCCCCACCAACGCCGAGGTCAACATCCAAGCCATCGCCGCCCGCCCGCCCGAGGATGCATGGGGGGGAATTAAGTCACCCCCGAAAAGACGGCCTAGCCATTTTTTGGGGGGTCAAAAAAAAATAAGGCCCGGCCTTATTTTGTGAGAAACACGGCACAATCTTTGGCATTGAGTGGGGTTGCACTGCCCCAAAGAGACTCTGGGCACAATTTGAGTGCCCTCCTAGATTCACAACTCCAGCTGTAAGAGCAGGAGGCAGTTGTGACTAGGAGGGCTTTGCACAACTTCTGTTTTGTGCACTACTGCACCCATTGTGCCTGTTAAGGGGACCCACTTACGGTCACTTGTTTATATGAGGAGCCACATAAGAATTTTAGCATGATTGTTTCTCTTATTCCTTTAAATTAGGAAACCTAGAATGCTCAATGCCACATCCAAGATTGTTTCTATAGACTAAAAGAAGACGACCCTCACACAATGAAGTAGATGGTTTATCAGCTGAATCCAAATATTATCTTGAAGATTTACTAAATGATATAGACACTCAGAAATCCACAAACATCAGATAGGATATCAATTAATGCAAAAGTCTTAGGACAGATGACTGTACTCTGCTTCTACTTTCCCAGGCTTAGTTTGCTACAGGATGAAAAAAAATCTTACTGATGACCTAGGAGACATTAATGATTGCACACTGTCTTAGTAATTTTATCATTTTTGCGGTATCAGCATGTTCATGGTCTTCCCATTTACTCTGCTATAGTTCACATTGCCAGTCTCACACACACAAACACAAGGTGTGGAGATAGTATTTCATTTGAAACCTTACACATTGTTTTCAGTTCAGTGAATTAAACTACCATCAATGAAGCTTAAAGACAAATTGAAGTACAGAACTGATACAAACTGAAATAGAATTTTACAAATATATTAGATTCTACTGAATCCAAATGAACTAGCATTCTTCAGTGATTTTTAGCAGAAAATAATTTTTCTAATTTTAAAAATGTGCTCCATTTTAAGTAATAATGTTTTAGCAATTAAGCCTTAAAGAAAAATAAGTTTCTATATGCTTTCTGTAAAGAACCCACTTGCTAATAAACAAATTCTTAATTGTGGAATATGGGTCAAAGGAAACAATCACTTTTTACAGGAAGTTAGGAATGCAGCATAAAAAAGAGAAACATAAAGTATACCATTACATTACTAGCTACTGCCAAAGCAAACCATTTTAAAATTCATCCAAAACCCAAATATTTTTCATAGTTTAGAACTATAAACAATATATACTGAAGAAAACCATCTTCTTAATTAACACAACACACCTTTACATTAGCCCACCAAATGAGTCCAGTGATACAGAATTTTAATTCACCTTGGTAAACTGGTGCGTCCAGCGTCCAGTGCCAGATCTGTGTGTACCATCTCCTGTTTCAGTTCTCCGATTTCTGAAGCAATTGTGTCAATTAGCTTGAAGGACAAAAGCAATATGACATCAGCAAGTGGAAGATGTAGAAATAAAAGAATGGACAAGATGAGTCACTTTGGCGTACAAGTCATTTCACCCTGCCTAATTCTGACTTCCCATTCTTAAGGGGAACTAACATAATGAAGCATATATTTCATTCATTCACATATAAAATCAGCTTGTGGTAAACATACCTAATACTCCTTCCTCCTCCTCTTTTCCCTATTGCACCTACCCTTGAAATCAGTTGGACCAAGAGAGAAGATTGGCCCATGGCCACCCAGTTGGTTTACATGCCTAAGGCGGAACTAGAACTTACAGTCTACCGGTTTCTAGCCTGCTGTCTTAACTACTAGATCAAAATCATTAAATAAATGATTTGTAAAATTCTGTTTAACATTTGTATTGTGACTGAACTGATCCTGGAAAAGAAAAAAATATGCAAAAAAAAAAAAAAAGACATACATATATAAAAATAAAAGTTTTTAAAGTTTGATCACACAGAATATCATTTTCCATACATTGTTAAAGAACCCATGCGTAAAGAAGAGAGTGGACAAATATCATCAATCCAAGATTATAAAACCAGGGTAGCACTGTCTTTCCGTTGTAAAGAGGGGGTTTTTTTGGTGTTTTTTTTGCTAAGTCCCATCTTGATACTTTCACATCTCTTCATATAAAGATACATTCCAAATTTGGGGTATATAATTCAAAAACAGATCTCTAAACTCTGTTGTTTCCTAAAACCATATAAACAAACATGGAAATTAAATAAAAATGGAACAATAGTATGACAAGCTTTTGTACAGATCATTTATATAAATTTAGACTCACCCATTCTGAGAAATTCTGTATGATTGAAAGATACTTGTATTCCATTAGTGTGAATTATAATTATTGAAATGTAGTACTAAATTTATCAGGGATTAAAACACCAACCCAATTTCTCTGAATCACTAATGAGTTCTATGAAGCAACTAACAATGAGTTAAATTGTACACTAATAATAGTGTAATTATGAATAAATCATATTATAGATTTTCAAATATTACTATTAGCTAGGCACGTGGAATATTGTAAATGTCACCAGTACCTCAATGTAAATGAAATGCTCTGTTATGTACAAACTGTGAAAAATTATACATGTATTTTCTTCATAGCGTTTTCCTGCAAGCGTAGAATCTGCTTTTTTTCAGAACAACCAAGTATTGATCCTTTGAGTGCAACATTTTCTCAAAATGCATGTGAATTTTTAGTTCATTTTCTTCAAATGTTGGGCTTCTATCCATAAACATTTACTGGTGTAAATATTATCAGAAAATGATATTGCTCTATTCACTCAAGGCTTCTGCTAACATTTTATGGCAAGATTTGTTATGCAAACATCCCAAAATCAAGTTTACGGTCACCTATGACAGGTGTACAATTTTTAATATAACTTTATTAAAATTTTAAGATGAAAGATAAAACCAAGAATGAATATTTAGAATAAAAAAGGAAGAGAAAGAAAAAATATAAGAACAGAAACAATAATCCAGTAGAAAAGAAATGTAAAGAAATTACTTCAAATTTTCTTTTATAGCAGTTGTAAGCATAAATGTAAATTAATATCTTATTCTATGCTTACAATTTTGCTTATATTTTTCTATAATCTATTTTTCTAATTTTCAAACCATATATCATAATTCCTTTTTTCAGTTTATTTCCAATCAGCATTAAACTTAGGCAACGTCCTGTCTCTAATTAAAGCTGTCAAGTTGACCATTTCGGCAAGTTTCATCTTCTGTGATAAGTATAAAATTGATATTGAAAGAATGAAACCAAATATGTCATAGTCATGTAAATGTATATGCCATAATTTTGTTTTCTAAGTAATAGTTTATGCCAAGAATTCCATATTCGGAATTCCTTGTCCATGTTTAAGAATCCGATATATGTATACTACATAACACAAAATCACTATTTGTTTCAGAAAGTTGGTGAATAAGTCATAAGTGTTTACACATAATGCTAGACCATAACCACATCTACATATAACCAGACCACATATGTGCCATGTTGGATCTCTGCCTGATCACCACCTACTTTAAATACAATGAAGGTTTCTACAGACAAAAACTGCACAGCTAATCTCTGTGTCCCGCAGTTGTGACCAATCTCTACATGGAAGATGTAGAAACCAAAGCCCTAAACTCTTTAATAGGATTTTCACCCACTCACTATAGATATGTGGACAATACTTGGGTCAAGATTAAAACATAGGAAGTAGAAGCCTTCACCAAACACATCAATTCTGTGGACAGATAGGGTAGATTAAGTTCACACAGGAAGATGTTAGAAAACAATCTGGCTTTTCTAGACTGTGCAGTGCATATTAAGGAAGGCAGAAGCATTAACACTGAAGTTTACAGAAAACTCCCACATTTTGTATTTACATTTTGATTCTCACCACCACTTGAGCAGAAAATGGGACTGATCAGAATGCTACACCACAAGGCCAAAAGTTTGCCTACCAGTAAACAGGGAAAAGAAAAAGAACTAAAATATGGCAAGGGATTCCTCAGAACTTGTGATTATCCTAACTGGGCCTTCATCAAATCCAGAAAAAAATCCAACAGGAGTTCTTCCATTACAGACAAAGAGAGAACAACAAACATAGCAATGTTGTCATTCCATACATTGTAGGAATATCTGAAAAGATCAAGAGAATTGTCAACAAACACAACATACAAGTACACTTTAAACCCAAGAATACACCAAGGCAAGAACTCATCCACCCCAAGGATAAAACATACAGACAAAAATTGAGCAATGTTATATATGAGCAATGTTATATATATATACTGCAGTGAGACATGTGTAGATCAGTGCATTGGAGAAACAAAGCACACAATTGCACAACATAGGAGAGAAACCCATCAGGACAAGATTCAGCAGTCCATTTGCATTTGAAAGACAAAAGTCACTCTTTTGATGGCAGCAAAGTCCAAAGCCATCACAACCGATGAAGTTTCTTGGATGAGAAACAAAACATTTTGTTCTTCTTTCTCAAGGAAAAAACAGTCCAGTTTCCTTTTGAAAAAGCACTTTTCAGGCAACTACATCTACAATTCCTATTATGGTTTAGTGGAGACCTTGTAGACAATTCAAAATTAATTATGTCATATCATTTCTAATGCTATAATATTGTTCTGTGCAAAAGCAGAGGATCTGAGTCAGCAGGATGAAATATAAGCTAGCATACCTAAAGAAAATGAAATGGTTAGGTAGTGTCATTAAACAATGAACATGAATTTGGGAAAACTCCAGGAGACAGTGGAGGAGTAGGGGTGGCATTCTGTAGTCCATGGGGTCGTGAAGGACATGACTGAACAACAAAAGAAAACAAAATCTTATTATTTTGAAAAGATAGCAGTTTGAAGAGATATCAAATTTCAGAATGTGAAGTTATTAGAACTCACTGTAAAGTAAAATCTTCTGTCCCAGTTATGATCTCAGTAGAAATTTCAAATAAAAGAAGCAAACTGGTCTGTAATGAAATTCTGAAATTCATAAACAACCAATATCTTTATTAGGATAAATAAGTGAACAAGTTTGAGTCCTTTGAAATTCATTATTTTGTCATATTCTGGACCCTGAGCAAGTACAACTAAGCCAGCTTTCCCCTAACCCTAAGGCTTAGAACAAAAGGGTCAATGAGTTCACATTAACTTTTCTTTCAAAGTATATTGTTTCACAATTCTGTCCACCAGGGGGAACCACACTACGTCACTAAACACAAAATATCTACAGTATTTCAATCAATATCCTCAATAAACTTGATCTCATAATATAAATAGTGATTTATATTATGCATACCTCTGACTTATGCACAGTGGGATCTCTTGGAATTGGTACTTTTCAGCTCATAATTAATTAATCCTGTTGATGGCACTCCTTATACACATATACAAATATTTTCCATTACACAGACCATACTTTTTGTCGTAATAAAAAGGAATAGTTATACCAAACAATCAACGACTTTAAATGTGTAACTTTTACAAGAGAAGAAGACAGCAATAAATTTCCTGGAAATCGTCATCAGCAGAGGAAACAATGGCAGAGTAAAATCACAAGCATACGAAAATAAAATTCACATAACCAAAGCAACAATTGAACTGCCTCCAGGGGAATTGAATATAAACATGATTTAGACAGAATAAATCCATGAACATCAATTTGACAATCAGAAAATATGAAGAATACTCCTTATTCTCCAGAAAGAAATTCATTTTTTTCAAATAATTTTATTAATAATCATACATGTAAAGGACAAAAGTCAATACAAGCTACAAAATATACAAAGAAATGTAAAAATGAAAAGAAAAGAAAAGAAAAGAAAAGAAAAGAAAAGAAAAGGGGGTATGTGAAAAAGAAGAGAGAGAAAGAAAAAAAGGAATGATTTCCACTTTCATCCTAGTTACCTAAAAATAATTTTAACAATTTATCACCATTTGTAAATAAACATGTTCTCTCTTTTCCCCATATCTCATCTCTTAGATAAGGAAAAAAAGATCTAAAAGCCATGTCAATCAATTTTTATCAGTAAAAGCCCAGTAAGGGCAACCTGAATCAAGCAAGCCAAACGTATAAATCTTTCCTGACTTTTTAAAAGATATTTTGACCCACTTCAGAAAAAAATCCCAAGGTAATTTGCTGCTCATCTGTTTCAAAGCAAAATCCATTTAGAACTTTAACAGATTTCTCTTGTATTCATAAATAAAATTTATCCTTTTGTTTGTCACTCCTTTTTTGAAGTTTTACCTTTTATTAGTTTATAATATAAAATACAAAAATAAAAAGGCAACTAATAAAAAATAGGGGAGGAAAAAGGGAAGAGAAAAGTGTAGGAAAAAGAGGAAAAAGAAAGAAAAGGCATTGACTTCCAACTCTGTTTGGTGCAGTAGAATAAGATAGTAGCATCAACTTTGTTTATCACTCCTAAGAAAAGTCCTTTGAA